GTGACTATTGGATGGCAAGGACGGTTCCTGAATCCCGCCGTGGTGGAGGTTCACGGGCTGCCTGTTCATTTCTCAGCAACAGAGCAGCTGTTGAACACTTTAAACAAAAGGTGAAGCTCTGAGCTTTGTCCTCCAGACACGGAGCAAATGACACAGACAGGCCTTTGGGAGTTTCTTGTGTACAAGGCTTGTGTACAAATAAGCTGCAATTAGCAGAATTTATGAGCGAGCACACAAACCTGTTGGGGATACGTTTCTGAGTCAAGTACGCCCGTGGAGTGATGGGTAGAGCACATGTGGTCAAGGTCATCTGACAAATAAACGGAAAACATGCATCAATCAGCCTGAGGAATAATTTGGCTGCTAAGGCCATAGAACATAAACTGCAGAGTTTTTGAGCATGGGTCAGTATGTTGTAGTGATTATGAAAACTGGGGTTTATTTATAAAACATGAGCAGAACACATTTTATTGTAACTTGTTCATAAAAACGTTTACAATGCAGTTTTATGTAAGAATGGTTTTATGAACTACATGCAGAGAAATTTGATCTGCTTGGATTTTATTGGGAATTATGTATTAAAACATTTAGTGTACAAAATGGGACAGTTATCATACGAATGATTTTACGAACGATTTACACAGACATATTTCTGCTTGTATTTCATGAATGGGATTTGTGTGTTTTCAGAGCCATGGCTTTAAAATGACTGTACATACACTGACGTGTTGAGCTGTGATGCTCATGTGGGCAACACCGGTTCACATCTGACTTGCAACATTTCTTGATCATGTTCCACCTGACTCTCTCAGCATCATATGTCTTTTGTAAGCAAAACAAATGTCTGATAAAACGTTTCAATTCTTATCTAACAATTTTTACATAGTTAACGAGGTAAAAAAAGCTTTTTCTGTTATATAAAGTTTTTACGAACTACTGACGAACACAGAAATCCATTCCTCTCATTTTGCTCATGTGGTTGATACAAATGATTCTTACATCCATTGTCAGAGAAATGTACACATTTGTCTCTCATTGTGTTGTGGGAGCTTAGCAGTACTGCCTACTTGTGGTGCTCATGTGGGAAGTGTGGGTTTGAATCTGACACAGTTCACAGTTATATTCCCTCTCTCGCCTCTCAATCTTCTGTCTTCGGATGTCTGTGTAATTCATTTGTAGTGTGAACTTTTTTATTGAATTCTTTAGCATTAAGTATTAATATTGCATTAAACTGGCTTGCTAATTTTATTTTAATTTTAATTGAATTTTTAATTTTATTAAAATTAAAATTTATTTACATTAGATTTACACATGCGTCATGAAAAAGGCTCATTGTGTGTACTAAGAGCCACAGCCTAGCAGTTGGTGCACATACTTGGTACTCAAGTGGGAAAAGTGGGTTTGAATCTGACTCACAACCAGTTCACATTCACATTGCCCTTTTCTCTTCACAAATTCAGTGCTCGATGAGCTAAACAGATGTCTGTGTAAATCATTTGTAGAACTGTTTTTATTTGCAATTCAATTGAATAATTGCATTCAGTTCACATCTGGTTCACAAATAGTTTGTAAAATCAGTTTTACGTCAGTTGTTTACACAAGAATTTATGCAAAAAATGCACCTTCTCATGGTGCACATGTGGGAAATTTGAGATTGAATCTGGCTTGCAAATGCTTATTTTCACCCTTCCTTGCCATTATTTGCTTTACTCCCTCTACTTTCTCTCCAAAATGTCTCAATAGACTTTAATCAGGTAAGACACCATATTGAATTTAATGTGGATGAGAACGAGGCTGTGAGGGATAGACTTACAGATTTTACAATAGGATGTGCTATTTCTGCTAATCATGCTATTTTCACAACTAACAACTTTCAGAATTTCTTTGTGGAGTTCTAGTCTACTGAAAGTTATTTTTGGAAATATGTTTAATCAGCTAAACAATCAATATGTTGTTAAACTGCAGTACAATCCATTGAACGCTCTGTACTTCTATCTTTCACAGCTTAGTTTTCATTCCTGTCAGAAATTACATATGGTGCTACCTTTGCCTGTCTATAGGCACTTCAAAAAAGTGTGGTGATGTACTTTGAGTATTCGGGGAGAAATCTTGATTTCAACCGATCACAGAAGAAGTGACAGACTTCACCATCAGACTCCAGCACTCAAGATGCCAACGCGGGGCATGCAGCTTGGGAGCCACAGATAGGCTAAATACTTGCTCCGACTCAAGAGTATGCGATGCCCAGGAGTGCATTAAAGACTTCAGCTGCATTTGTTGACTGGCTTAGGGTAGCTCTGCTGTAGCAGCTTAATGATAACACATTATCTCTTTCTTAACACTTATTTTCTAGTGGGAAAAACAGACCCGGACTCACTTCCTTTGCAGTCTACCGAGTGGAAGCAAACAAAGTTTAAATGATTTATGACTATGTAAGGTTAGCCGATGCCTGTGGCAAAATGAAATGTTCTGCTGACCTTTGTCTTTGTAGCTACACTGTGGATGAAAGCTTCATTACGCCACAAACCTATTTAGATGAGGCACGTTATTAGCCTTGATGGCAGACAACAAGAACAGACTCAAAAGACTCTTCAGGATCCGGATTGATAAATGTTATTGTTTGTCTGCTGATGGCGAACGGTCTGATTACATGCTAAGCTTCCTGACGTGAAGAATGACAAATAAGGATGTTAAAGGGGTCATATGATGCGATTTCAAGTTTTCCTTTCTCTTTGGAGTGTTACAAGCTGATTGTGCATAGATAAGATCCCTGAAGTTGCAAAGACTAAAGTCTCAAAACCAAAGAGGTATTCTTTATCAAAGTTAAGACTCTGCCACGCCCCCTAAAACGGCTCGTTCTAACACGCCCCCACATATCTACCTCACTATGTGGAAATATTTGCATAATGCGGCCCAAATGTGCACGCAAAGAAAGAAGGCGTGGTTTCAGTAACCACAGTTAGTGTTGAAGCAGCCATTGTCAGGGATCTGGAAGGAGGACCCAATTGCAGTGAGTGTAACAAGGGTTTATTGACAAAACAGATCAATACAAAAGGGTTGTGAGGTGCACAGGTGATACCACAACAGGAACGCAATAAACAGATAGCTAGGGAAGGCCACTGGAACAGCCTCAGACATCAACTGGCAGAATACTATAGCAGAGGTGGCAAGACCAGGCCGGGAGAGAGACCAGAGCAAGGCACCAGAGAGCTGAGCTCAGATACTTGTTGACCATAAACTCTGAAGCACCCCCAGACAACAGGCAAGGGAACCAGTGGACAGGAACACCACAACAAGACAAAGCATAGCTCCACAGAAACACAAATTACTCCAAGACAGGCAAGAGAATAAACAAAAAGGACTAAATATTATTATTATGAAAGTAACCAACACAAATAACCAAAAAATGAACAAAAGATCAGGACTAAGAGAACTAAATGAATACTAAATTAAAGGCAAAAAGGTCAAAAACAGACCGCATCCAAAAACAAGGAGCAAGACAAAAACATAGAATTACAAGAGACAAGACTAGGGCAAGACTAGAGCAGAAGAACAAACCGACAAGACAGGAACACATAATCAGCCATATCCACAGACAGAGACAGAGACAGAGACAGAGACAGAGACAGAGACAGAGACAGAGACAGAGACAGAGACAGAGACAGAGACAGAGACAGAGACAGAGACAGAGACAGAGACAGAGACAGAGACAGAGACAGAGACAGAGACAGAGACAGAGACAGAGACAGAGACAGAGACAGAGACAGTGAGGGAAAGAATGACCACAAACCAGCAAAGACAATAGGGCAAGTGGCAACCAGAGTGTCAGGGCAAAACCCTGACAGCCATGTCAGGGAGACGCTGTGTGTTTCTAGGTGAAAGCAAAAGCACTTTATTTGGCCTTCCGAAAGTAGATGCATTTAGGAATCTTTAAGATTACTTGCAACATAACAGCAATGCGTTTTATGGACGACCGTTTCATGAAAAATGCGGAGTTTTGCGCATCGTCTTTGTATGTGTGTGTGTGCACACGCGAGCGAGAGAGAGCGAGAGCGAGCAGTGTGTGTGTCTGCGTGCGTGCGCGAGCGAGCGAGCGAGGGAGAGCGAGAGAGAGAGAGAGAGAGAGAGAGAGAGAGAGAGTTTTGGGGATGCAGAACTTTTGCCACACAAATGTGTTGTAGCCTTTTCACGCCAAGGCTGATTATTCAACAATGGTAACTTCTCTAAAAAATAATAAAACAATTAATATGCTGTACCTGTGATTTAATTGCTCAGAGAAACTGCTTGAGATTATCCAACTAGTTACACCAGTATACTAGCATCACATTCTTGGTCAGTAATTCAGTTCAGCAGGATGATGATGACTGAAATCACAACTCAATCTCATGAGAAAATGTAACTATTTTACAAAGTCATTTCATATAAATTTGTGCAATGTGATTCAGACAGAAATGTATGATTTTTAGAAATGTGAATAAGGCTGAGAAGCAGTGTTCAGCTCTCAAGTTCTCTCAAAATTACGAACAAATGTTCTCCCAGTGATTCAATAGAATGTTCATTCAAAGTGATCTGGTGTTTAATAATGCACAGAAACATCAATGTTGTTATGTTGGTAGTTGAGCTGTTGCAGGTAGTCATTGACTTTTTTTTTCATACTACGGAAGTCAATGGCTACTGGCAACTGTTTGGTTACCAACATTCTTCAAACTATAAAGTTTTTGTGTGAAAATGTACAAATGAGATACAAATTCATAGAAATTAGCCACCAGTTCATTAAAACGTAAAATAGATACTAATTGCCATGTGAGTATGTTGGAAACGCCAACAAACTTGGCACTGTTCATACGTTATCATTACACATCTTTTTTTTTTTTGGGAGATGTACTAGTGAAGCAATTTTGGTATGTTCAGGTATACTCAAAATAATAGCACATGGCTTTTCAGGTAATATTACCGATTATCTGATGCTATCGCTAATGGTTTTACGTTGTCATTTTCAGGTTTCGACACCTACTTTACATCACGCACACTGGAGAACAACAGAAGGAACGTCTGGTTTGCTGAGTTCTGGGAGGAGAACTTCAACTGCAAGCTCATGAGTTCCTCCAAGAAAGAAGACACTAGCAGAAAGTGCACAGGTAAATGCTAACAGCTCATTTTAGCCTAAAAACACCTCATGCTATGACATGCAGGTTTTCTCTCAGCGAGTTGATGATGTTTGCCCTCTTGACTGAAAACCTAGCTTAACAATTCTGTGTAAACTGGTAACTGGTACAGTCTTTTCATTGATGGTAACTGGTCGAAGTTGATCTTTAGCGACAACAGGTGATCAGGTGATTTTGGTAACTGGTTGACTGCCTAATTGACCAGCTTGGACCTGCTAATAACCAGCTAGTTACCAGATAGTGTGTAAAAATCAAAGCTACCAGCTTTAGCTGGATTTTCCAGCAAGGAATTATAAACACTTGCTGCAGTGATTGAAAAAAGTATAAAAGTTACCACTGTTTCCCTAGCTTTTTTTTTTTTGAAGAATCCTGTCAGGCTCATTGACTCCAGCTTATTAGCGCTGCGTTTCTGAATACAAAGCACATTCTCCACTGTAACAGAGCTCTCAATTACATAAGCTTCCCTCAGCTCATCATGGCTAGTTCAGGCTGACAGGTTCCCAATTCCCAGTCAGCTACAAGACAGAGTACATGCGCATCAAGATTGTCAAATGAAATGTGGGAATATTCATAACAGAATAGCATAAGTATGCATGCAAGGTTGTTTTCCTTTCTTATTTAAAAATAAAATAGGTGTAGCTTTGGACGCATTAATCCAGGATTGAGTAGAACATTACATTTTAAGCAATGATATGCATTATTACTAAAGTAGAATTTCTAAGTTGTAAAATCATTTTTAAATTGTAAATGCATGTATTTTGTCTTGTAGCCTGTGGCGAAGTCAATATCAGCACAAGGGGTAAACACTCTGGAGTATCTAGAGTAATTAATGTAGGAATCAATACTATTGACTATGTGCTAACGAAATTAAAAGAATGACAAAGAAATTGTTACCCAGAATTATTCTGTATTGTATAATATGTCCTTTCACATTTCTCTGATAAATATGATGCTTGTCAAGAGATGTGTATTGATATTTGAACCGGTGAAAACTCCGTTAATTGACTAATGATGTGCACAACTGTCACATAGGAAAACAGAGACAGTGTACAACAACTGGTTTTGCTTCAGGACAGATTTTACAGCGAGGACCCAATGCTGTACCAAACCTCTTTATTGAGCAAAATTGAATTTCAGTGGTTTGATGCTCTCAGCAGCTAATAATTCACTGCACAAAACACCAAGGTGCAAAGGGGTCTAGCAGCTCTATTAAGCCTAACCAAAATGGTCGACCAGGTCAAAATAAGGTCCACTAGATGGTACTTGAAGTGTTCTGCTATTTAGACCACATTGGACTAACATACATAAGATAGAAACTATTTGACTGTCGCCTACACCTTATGTCAAGTTTGTAGTAACATAGCACCAGCCTCAGACAGACCGCCGGCTCGCCCACAGATCGCCCACAGTCTGTTCCCAAACCGTCTGATGCACATTGCACAAAGATGGCAAGAACTGACTGAAAAACACTATCCTTGCTGGTCACTGTTGTGCAATTTGTTTATTCCACGATTGTTTATTTTTGTGGTACCAACCAGTGTTACCAATTGTGGTTTTCCTGCAAAATTGGGCTACTTTTACACTGTTGCTGTGGGTTGTTATTTTAGCCTGCAAGTCAAAGCAATTTCACGATTTTGATGGAGGGGAAAACCACGGAAAAAACTGATTGGGCTAATTTTAAATAAGAATTAGGATGGTTCTGTTTCGCAGTCCTGGCAACCCTGGTTACTAACTTTTTTCATATATTAATGACACATAAAAATGTGACAAATTCTGATTGGTCACTTTTTTGGCATTCTTGACCGAGTGTTTGGCCAGAATAAATTGAAAAATTGAAATTGTATGCAACTAATCAAAAGTCTAGCTATCTGAGTAGTAACATTGTACGCGCTTGAGACCAAAAAACAAATTAGCATATGTTGGCTTTTAAATTTTTTTTACAATTTTTTGCATGTTATATTGCCGTTCAAACAGCAGCATAATACAGTCCTATTTTTGAGCACTAATATGATTGTACAATCATTCCTAAATGCAACTAGGCACCAAACACATATTTTTTCTTGTTTTCCTGTAACTAAAACGTCTAAATAAAACAAGATATTTTTAATTGAAAAGTGACATTTTTGTAAGATAATTAAGCCCTGTTCACACCAAGGACGATAACTATAATGATAACGATAAAATATAGTTTTTCAAATCGTTCTAAATGTAAAAAGAATAGCAGAGTTCATACCACAACTATAACAATAATGACACATAGGAACGATATCGTTGGAATCACTTTTTAGAACAATTTATTTTCCAGCTGATGAATGATAAAAACATTGACAGCAAATCAGAATCCATCCTGCTTTAAGGAGATTGACAATTTAAAGGAGCAAACGACAAAACTGCAGTGCACGCTTATAATAAACAGAATGTTATCGCTACGCTAATACAGTTATATAGTTATAATATATCTTTATAGTCATCGTTCTTTGTGTGAACGGGCCTTTAGACTTGTTTTTATGCAATAACTTTATTTAATTTACACTATTTTTGTTTGTTTTAGTTACAAAGTGGTGTCTTGCACTAATATTTTTTTTATATATACTGACACCTAGTGGTGTGGATGAAGCATCACTAAATGTGCTTGCATTCGGTGTGAACTCATCCACTATACGAAAAGTTGTCTCTTACATTATTTAGTGTGATATGTGGTGCTTTTTTCCATTTGTGGTTTCGATAACTCTCCTAGAGGTACAAGCTGTAGTCATCCGAAAGTTGTAGATCCAGATGCTGTTTTCCACCAGTTTATGGTCTCTGTGAGACGTAGTCAATGAGAAATCTTGTTTATTGAGTGTCCTGCCTGCTCCGGGAGTCTCTGGACAACGAGGTGAGATATTCAAGAACTGGAGGTGGCGGCAGTTTCTGTTAGCGACAGCTGGCAACGACAGTCTGCATCGCCCAGAGACGCCGTCGGTGTGAGGGCCAATTTACAGACATCAAGGGCCCGAGTATGTGATGAGAGAGAAAGCACATGGTGTCGTCTCTGGAACAACAGTGTGCGCTGGGGTGCAAAGGAGAGTCAGTTCTGATGGATGACATGGGAGAAGCGAGAGAGGAATTGGCTGTAGTCCAGGATCACGATTGTACAGGAGAAGATGCAATTAAAGAGGGCTGGATTGGAAAGTCACTGTGAATTTGTAATCAATTTTCGGGTTTCTTTGATGTGCTCCTGCACATAGGTCATTACGTGTGTGGCATGATCGCCACTGCCACCATTAAAAAGATGTAATGAGATTTTTGTAGCTATATTTATAGTCTTAAATGTCAATTTTCGGTGTCTTGTGCTAAAATGCAACAAGATACCAAATGCACAGTTGCATCTTTTTTTCCTGTAATAACAACAAAAATGTATTTAAAACAAGATATTTTTACTTAAAAAGTGTTACGTCCCATGTCGTAGGTTGTACTGTTCTCAGGGTAGTCATTTAATTTTGATTGTTTTATTCTCTATGCAATTTAGAATAGTTTTTTTGAAAATATATCTTTGTTTATTTCATTTACACTACTTATCATATATATTATGCTGACACCTAGTGGTGTGGAGGATGCATTACACAAAACTCAGCCATCGATTAACAACTTCTGCAAACAAAAGTGTCGCATAATATGATTTAGTCTTAAATAAAAGTTATTTTTAGCTGGTCTTGTTTAATCAACAAGGCGGTCTCCATCAGGATACTCACTCTGTAAAAATAAAACATCTTTTTGGGGCACTGATATGACTTGAGAATGTATGTGAGCTTACATTATTTTGAAACATATTTTCAAAGTTACGTTTTTATTATTATTTTAGTAAGCATAGACCTCAATAAATTCAGCTGGATTTATGCTTAAAACAAGAAAAGACATACAAATAATTCTTAATATATTATTATCCGCAGTTTTGCTTCTTGTGTAAATGTCGTGTGTTTAAATATTTGGACCCACGTTATATTAAGTGGCCTTAACTACTATGTACTTACATCAAAAAAATAAGTGCAATGTACTTTGTGTTCATATTGTGTTGCAAATCACTTTTGCTGCTATTGAGGTGGGATACGGGTAAGGTTAGGGACGAGTTTGGTGGTTTGGGTAAGATTAAGGGTCAACAGTGTAATTATAATACAATGTGAATATATATATATATATATATATATATATACAATCTAAACAAATTATAGTACAATGTAAAAACATGTACGTACACAATAAGTACATTTGTAATGCTCGGCCTATTAAAAGACTGGCCAAAACGTACCAAATGATTCACTTGAATGCAAGTACATAGTTAAGGGCACTTAATATAAAGTGAGACCAAATATTTTTACTGCAATAAAAGACAGAACTACTCTTGCTGAATGACATTGGGAATGCTTTTAAAGGATTGAAGAGCCAGAGTTCAGTGTCCTCTGGGCACTGGAGTATTTGAATTTTGACTCGCAATGGCACTTCATGAAAATGACAGCTTCTCAGTCCCCTCACAAAAGAAAACATAAACAGAAAATTGCAGAATTCTGCCTGTGGAATTGCTGTTATTATTGGTGTTTTCAATAGAAATGTTCAGAGAGACTGATGCACTTGTGTCACTTGTGTTGCAAAATTATAGTTTTTTTTTATTTATTGAAAAGTTGTAATTTAGCTGTACATTAGCATTTCTATGCCACATTTGTCATTCTTATAGATAAAGTATCTCTTATTGTTTGTCTGAGGAAGTTTTGGTATATTCAAGTAAAGATAAAACGGAATTCAAAGTCATCTTTAATTTAAATAGCAAGGTTTATTTTGAAGTGAAACAAGAAAATGTATAGGTTGGAATTTGTTTTCATTTTGTTTTTATTATTATTATTGTGTTTATTTGATGTTGACTTTTATAAAAATTTTAAATAAACATTTGTCATCTAATCAAGATGGACTGATCATGATAGCAGTTTTGTTTTATGTCCTTG